ATAGCAATACAGACCTACTTTAAGAAGCAAGAAAGATTACAAATAAACAACCTAAACTTAGACCTAAAGAAGCTAGAAAAAGAACAAACAAAATCCAAAGCTAGCAAAATAAAGGAAATAATAAAGATGAGAGCAGGAATAAATGATATAGGGGTGCCTGGGTGGCTCAGTTTGTTAAGTGCCAACTTCAGCTCAGGTCATGATCTCAGAGTCCTGCTCAACAGGGAGTCTGCTTTTCCTTCCTCTGCACTTACCCCCAATTGTGTGCATACATCCTCTCTCTCTCTCAAATAAATAAAACATTTTTTAGAAATAAAGAAATGATAAAGAAACCAAACCAAACAACAGAACAGATCAATGAAACCAGGAGTTACTTCTTTGAAAAGATAAACAAAATTGATAAACCCCTACCAGACTCATTTAAAAAGAGAGAGGGGGGAAAAAAAGAGAGAGAAAGGTTCCAAATAAACAAAATCACAAATGAAAGAGGAAAAATAAAAACCAATACCACAGAAATACAAACAAATATAACAGAATATTATGAAACTTTATATCTAACAAATTGGATGACTTAAAAGAAGTTGTCTTAAAAGATTCCTAGAAGTTCCTAGAAACTAAAGCAGAAAAAAAAATGAAAGCAGGAAGAAATAGATAACTTGAACAGGCCAATTACCAGCAATGAAATTGAACCAGTAATCAAAAAAATTCCAAAAAACAGAAGTCCAGGACCAGACATCTTCACAGGTCAATTCTACCAAACATTTAAAGATGACTTAATACTTATTCTTTTCAAATTATTCCAAAAAATAGAAGAGGAAGGAAAAATTCCAAATTAATTTTATGAGGCCAACATCCTGATACCAAAATCTGAAAAAGACACAACACAAAGGGGATCCCTGGGTGGCGCAGCGGTTTGGCGCCTGCCTTTGACCCAGGGCACGATCTTGGAGACCCCGGATCGAATCCCACGTCGGGCTCCCGGTGCATGGAGCCTGCTTCTCCCTCTGCCTGTGTCTCTGCCTCTCTCTCTCTCTCTGTGACTATCATAAATAAATAAAAATTATAAAAAAAAGACACAACAAAAAAAGAGAAATACAAGCCAATATCCATTATGAATATGGAATATAAATCCTCAACAAAATATTAGCAAACTGACTCCATCAGTACTTTAAAAATCATACACCACAATAAAGTGGGATTTACTCCTTGGAGGCAAGGGTGGTCTATTATTTGCAAAACTAAACTATCAACATGCTACATCACGTCATTAAGACCAAGGATAAAAATCATATGATCGGGCAGCCCCGGTGGCTCAGCGGTTTAGCATTGCCTTCAGTCCAGGGCGTGATCCTGGAGGCCTAGGGTCGAGTCTCACATCGGGATCCCTGCATGGAGCCTGCTCCTCCCTCTCCCTGTGTCTCAGTCTCTCTGTCTCTCTGTGTCTCTCATGAATAGATAAGTAAAATCTTTATAAAAAAAAACATATGATCATTTCAGTAGATGCAGGAAGAGCAATTGACAAAGTACAACTCCATTCATGATAAAACTCTTCTGCAATTAGGTCTAGAGGGAACATAATAAAGGCCATATATGTAAAACTACAGCTAACATCATATTCAATGGGGAAAAACTGAGAGGTTTCCTTCTAAGGTTAGAAATAAGATAAGGATGTCCCTCTCACCACTTGTATTCAACCTGGAACTGAAGTCCTAGCCACAGCAATTAGATGACATAAAGAAAGAAAAGGCATCCAAATTGGTAAGGCAGAAAGAAGTAAAACTCTCACTATTTGCAGATTATATGATACTATATATAGAAACCTAAAAACTCCACCAAGAAACTATTAGAACTGGTAAATGAAGTGACAGGACACAAAATTAATGTACAGAAATCTGTTGAATACCTATACACTAGTAATGAAGCAGCAGAAATTAAAATTAAAAAATCAGTCCCATTTACAATTGCACCAAAAACAATAAAATATGTACGAATAAACTTAATGAAAGCAGCAAAAGCCATATACTCCGAAAACTATAAAACACTAATGAAAGAAATTCAGTGATGCAACCAAATGGAAATACATTCCATGCCTAAGAGTTGGAAGAACAAATATTGTTAAAATGTCTATATAATCCAAAGTAATCTGTACATTTAATGGAATACCTATCAAAATGCCAGCAGCATTTTTCACAGAACTAAAACAAACAATTCTAAAATTTGTATGGAACTACAAAAGACCTCAAAGGCTAAAGCAATCTCGAAACACAAAACTGGAGGTATCACAATTCCACATTTCAGGTTATATTACAAAGCAGTATTAATTGAAATAGTTGTACTGGCATAAAAATAGACACAGAGATCAGTGGAAAAGAATAGAAACCCCAGAAATAAACCCACAATCATATGTCAGTTATTCTTGACAAAGTAGGAAAGAACATCCGAGAATAAGATAATCTCTTTAACAAATAGTGTTGGGAAAACTGGACAGCTACATGGAAAAGAATGAAACTGGACCACTTTCTTTTACCATACACAAAAATGAACTCAAGGTGGATTCAAGACCTAAATGTGATACCTGAAACCATAAAAATCCTTGAAAAGAGCACAAGCAGTAATCTTTCTGACATCAGCCATAGCAACATTTTTCTATATATGTCTCCTGAGGCAAGGGAAATAAAAGCAAAAATAAACTATTGGGACAATATCAAAATAAAAATCTTTTGCATAGTGAAGGAAACAATTAATAAAACTAAAGGGCAACCTATGGAGTAGGGGAAGATATTTGCATATGGTATATCCAATAAAGGGTTAGTATCCAAAATATATAAAGAACTGATATGACTTAATACCCAAACAAACGAATAATCCAATTTTAAAATAGGCAAAAGACAGGAACAGAAATTGCTCCAAAGAAGACATACAGATGGGCAACAGACAAATGAAAAGATGCTCAACATTACTCATCATCAGAGAAATAAAATCAAAATCATAAGAAACAACAAGTAATGGCAAGTACGTGGAGAGAAAGGAAACTTGGTACACTATTGGTGGGGATGCAAACTGGTACAGCCACTGTGGAAAACAGTTTGGAGGCCTTAGAAAGTTAAAAATAGAACTACCCTATAATGCATTCATTCATTGCACAATTGGCTATCTACCCAAGAAGTACAAAAACACTAATTCAAAAAGATACATGCACCCTGATGTTTACTGCAGCATTATTACAATAGCCAAACTAAGGAAGCAGTCCAAGTGTCTATTGATAGATGAATGGATGATAAAGAAGAGGTGGTACACACACACACACACACACACACACACACACACAAGCCCACACTGCAATAATCTGCAGCCATAAAAAAGAATGAAATTTTACCATCTGCAACAACATGTATAAAACTAGAGAGCATAATACTAAGCAAAATAAATCAGAGAAAAACATATTCCATATGATCTCACTTATATGTGGAATTTAAGAAACAACAAACAAGCAAAGGAAAAAAAGGAAGAGAGAGAGAGAAACCAAGAAACCAGAATCTTAACTATAGAGAACCAAAGCGATGCTTACCGAGGGGGAGGTGGCTGGAGAGATGGGTAAAATCAGTGATGGATAACAGAGTGTATGCTTATCATGATGAAAAAATAAAATATTTTTTAAAAAAGATATGAAGGCATTTTTTGGTGAAATCCTAATGGCAAATGTTATAGACTGTAGAACAGAGAACTACAAAATGATGCTGGGAATATCTGTTCAGATTGGTGAGGCAAATATCCGTTCAGATTGGTGAGGCAAAAAGCTGAAGTTACGGGATTCTTTAAACTCTTTTCTGTATTTATTTTTCTTTACCTTCTCAATTCTTTTCCTTGAGTTCATCTCTATTCCTTTATATTTTCCCATGCTTTCTCTTTTTAATTTCTAATTGTCCTCCTTTCTTTCAACCTCTCAATTTTCTTACCCAATCTTATTTTCCATCCTTTCTCTCATTTCCCACAATTCTATCCTTCAAATAGAAAATAATTAAACAGTATGTTATTTCCACTGTCTTCATTATATTTGTCTTTCCCATCAGCATTGTAGGACTTTTGTCATTTCATATGATATTTTAGCAAATGTATTCATTTGTATTTATGGAAGGGTATTTTCACTACCCCTAGCATTTGTTAGCAAAGGTCTCTCATTAATAATTCTGACTTCACTTAGTACCAACAGGTTGGTAAGCAGTGTGCAGTGACATTTCAAACATATTTAGAATTGATAGCAATTGCAGAAACGAAAACAGTTCTCTCTGCTCATTCTATTTATTTTTCCTTAGAAAACCTAACTGAAACAGAAATCATGAGTCACGGAAAAGTCCATTTTTTTTCTTTTAGTGAACAGAAATGTTAATAAAATTCAAGATATTTTAGAAAAGCATTCGGGATATTTTAAATATTTCAGTGTTGTAATTTTTCAAACATCTTAATTTTTGAAAAGATTAAAAACTAATAACAAATATTATAGTGTCTCATAATAACTTCAAAATATATCCTAGCTATAGGATAGTAAATCTGACATATCATGATACCTACTGAGATGGTATGTATAAAAGCTTGGTGACTAATTGCCAGGCCTCATAAGACAGAGTGTATCATTATGAACCCTGCTCATGTCACCTATTAGCTACATTACTTTGGATGAAGCATTAATTTATCTTTTTCTTAGGTAAAAATATGGGCAGGAGTACTCTCCTCAGAGACTTATTGGGAAAATTAAATAACACGTATAAAACAATGAAAACTGTGTCAAATAAATAGTAATGACTCACTAAAACTTTGCCATTGTTGTTGCTAACAATTTGATATGTTTAATGTTCATAGATGACCAAGATTTCAGAGAGGTTTCAGTCTTATCCACAATATTTCTTCTCTCTCTCTCTCTTTGGATAAGCATCAATAAAGCCAAACTGACAAATGATATAATTAATTAAATGAACCTAAGTCAATTTGCATAGTCCATTTAAAAAAATATGGACTGCTTCACAAATTTATGTGTCATCCTTATACAGGGGCCATGCTATTCTAATCTGTATCATTCCAATTTTAGTCTATGGGCTGCTGAAATGAGCACTGCATACTCCAATTTTTGTTGATGAGCCCTGGTACATAAAGAGCAACAGAGTAGTCAGATATATCAAACAAAAATCTGTTTCTCAGAGTCTGCAGAATCTGAGCACTTTATTTTCCTCTCAAAGTGGTGCTGCCTAAAACCATGAAGTCAACTCAAAATGAAGTCTCGTAACCCACTGTCATCTTCCTACTTTACCAATTATGGGTTGCCAAAATACAAAGAAGACTTTAAGCTTGTGTGACAAATTAAGTTAATTTTAAAATCCGATTGATTAACTTATATAATACTTCACCTAATCCTTTAAAAAATAAAGTAGGAATTAGGGTAAGGATTAGATAAATTCCCCAAGCTATTAAGTGTTGGTGCTGGAGTTTAAACTCCAGACCTGATTTATTTACCATTCTGTTCTACTATTCCAGCTTGACTATGAACTGTTTGCCTTTACAAAATCAGCAAAGATAGAAAACTAAGATAACTAAGGTCTCAGTCATTCTGTTTTTGAGGATTACTTGATTACATTGTGAAGGAATGGATTTTAGCTTCTTAAAGAAGCAATTAATCTTGTCATTTATAAACAATGTTTATTTTCAAAAATAGTGCTGTGTTATCAGTTATTAGGCTGGACCCTAATAACTATTTTAATTATTCCACCTTGTAGCCAGAATAATCATTCAAATGGACTCAACTCTGAAAGCCCTGTTATGTAGATTTTAATAAAAATTTATTTTAAAAAGGATTACAAAATGTCCACTCTACTCAAATAGGTTGTTCACACAATTTTTGACCTGATTCTGCAGTCTCTCTCTCCTTGTCTCCCTCCCTTCCCCAAAATCTATCCTGTCTTCTCTTCTCTGGAAGCCCTGTTTCTAGTTCTTTTTTTCTTAATCCCCAACTCCCTTAATACTTCTCAAGAATGACACTCCCTCCTTTGAGATGAAATCTTTTCTCTCCTATTCTCTCCAAACTAAATTCTTCCCATCAGTACTTCAGATGTTTATAATTCTTTACTCAAAAACATACCCTTCCCAGATTGAGGATTGGAAATAAGTGCATGTGTACACGTACACGCACCCCCCACACACATACAGTGTAAACTCTCCCTGCAGTAATATTTGATAGCTTCCTCTTCTCCTTAGAAGAGATTTTAAAAAAATCCTCTGCTTAAATATCTGTACACTCTCACATTCATAAATTGGCTAAATCAAGAAGGTCATGGGAAGGAGAAAGAAAATAAAATTTGTATATTTTTGCCAAAAAATACTAATTTCTTAAGTTTCAAAATTTCTGTCTTTTGTGGACTTATATTTATAGCTAAGTATTAGAAGAAGTGACCTAACAAATACTAAAGGAAAAAATGGATGCATTCAAAATATAAAATGGAGAACAAATCGTGGAGGTGGCAAGGCAAAAACTAAATGCAGGGTTAATGGGGAGAAAAGGTAACTTGCTTATAATAATAACAATAATAATAGCCATAAGCTTTTTTAAAACTCATTTTGAGGAGAGATTTTTTTCTTTTCAAACTACTCTATACATGGCCTTTAATTATAACTACTTTCATAACTTGGATTGAAGACTGAAACTTTCCATATCAGAATTTCACATGTTCCTTATTACCTTCCCTCATTTGAGAGCCTATAAAAAATTTCATTTTCCTTATTGTAGTTAATTTGTCCATGACACAAACTAAAGCTAAATTTTCCAAGCAAGTTCATAAGTAAAAATAAAGAAGATAATGAATGTGATATAATAATTCTGGAGACTTCTGTTAAGAGTTGCCACTTATTATTTAAAATGTATTACACTCTTAACCACAATTCAGTTTTTCTACTTGTCTCTTCTTTCTTTCCAGTTTTATTTTATCCTTAAAAAATGTAGGTATTTTATCACCTTTGGTAAGATTCACTTAATTAAACATTTCACACAAAATGAAAATTATAAAAACTTATTAATGAAAATGAGTTCTCCTTGAGTCAAAATCATAAAAGAGATCAGTAGAATAGTATGCTATCATAAAAAGGGTAATACATTTCTATATCATATAATGAGGAAAAACTGAAAATAACTCCATTTTCTTTCTAGTCATTTTTTTTCATTCTTGTTCTAGTTTGGATTCTGTCCATAAAATAAAGGAAAATGGTATTTTATAGAAAAGCAATATCTCTTTAGAATATGGGAGAATAATAGGATATATGTTAACGCCAAAAAGAACAAGAAAAATCTGTAAATACGTGAAGCAATTTCTGACTTATACTGGTAACTGTAGAAAAATGCAGAATATATTGCTGATTGCATATAAAGGATTGCAATATGTGTGTGTGTGTGTATAATATCTTATATTATCTCTAGAAAGTTGGTAAGTTTTTCCCTTTGGGGAAGGGTACTAGATAGCTTCTAGATATGGATAGAAGAGATAGTCTTCATTGTATATACTACTGTATTTTTAATTTTTTAAATCAAGTGTACATATGTCCTATTGAAAAAAATAAGCATTTATAAAGAAGATATATTTTGCTATGCAGAAAAGGATTGGCACTCGGTTGACTGAAACCCAATGCTAATTTTATTGTCCAGATAGATTTGGGACAGATCCAAGAGTTTTACAAACTCTCAGAAAGTTTTATTTGTTGTAAGCCCATAAATTTATATGTTTTTAAAATATAAGCACTAACATTCCTATGTAATATGTAACCTGAATGAAAAATTGCTTTCATGATGTATTAAGCTATACATCATCAGGGCCAGCTGTCACTCTGATGATGTATTGTTGCAATAAATCTCAAGGTGTGACACATTGAAAAAGTATTACTCAAAAGAGAATGGTCTCCAAGTTAAAAACTGATCCAACATAAAATTCAAAGAGAAAACTATAGAGAAACAATTTATCTGTTGCCAAGAAGTGTTATGCAAGCAAAGATGTCTTCTCAGGGCACTTCTGTTTTGAACATTACAACTTTAGCAGGCTTGGGGAAAATCAAAACAATGTGCCCCTTTTTTCCAGTATCCAAAATTGATCCTAGAGATAACTGGTGAAGAGTACACCCAAGGCAACCAACCTCAGAGTATAAAAGATGTTACAATGGACATCAAAGTTTTCAAGGTGGCATGGGAAGAGAAAAAATACCTGGACATGGGAAGCATTTCAGAAGATGGTCCATATATCATTTGGTGAGAATTTGACATGAAGGCTAAACAGCTGGAAAAACTGCAACGGAATAAGGAACCCAAGTCAAGAACACAGCAGAGAACAGGGGAGCATGAAGTAAGTGCATGTCACTGGATGATTAAGAAACAGTTTAGGAAATTCTTTCTGGATTAGACACTCACATAGAAGAGGGATTTTCATAGGTTGATTCAGAATTTTGCCATTTATTAATCATATGACCTTGGAAATTTTGAAATAAAGTCTTGACATTCAAATTAGAAAAATTTGAGACACAGATGGAAAATGCTCATTTTCACCCATTATAAGTCACCAAAGAAAGTTTCTGCACAAATTTGTCTTTCATTGAGTAATTTACTTAAGCAAATACATAATATGATCTTTTAGATGTCACCCTACTCTTAAGCAAGAGGAACATATCCCAATTTGTACATTCATTCATTATTAGACATTTTCCATTGTATTTCAGATACTGTGACCATCCCTACACACAAGAGTGAACACAACAGACATAGTAATACTTGGCTTTTGCTCATGCATTGTCCTCCTTCTGTATCCCTTATCTAACAACATCCTCTTTAAAAAAAAAAAGATTTTATTTATTTATTCATGAGAAACCCAGAGGGAAAGGCAGAGGGAGAGGAAGAAGCAGGCTCCCTGCAGGGAGCCCAATCCAGGACTCAATCTCAGGGTCCTGGGATCCAAAGGCAGACGTTCAACCACTGAAACACCCAGGCCCCCCAACAACAACATGCTCTTAATCATTTAATGGTACTTTATGTTTCATGTGCCCCAGGTCCAATCATCCATGGCCATATCATCTCAAGATATGATATCCCTTTGCTAAAGTTCATTGAATTTTAGGATTAAGACTTTCTAATCTAGTTCAACATTTTCAATTTAGAAATAAGAAAATTATGGCCTACAAGGATTAAGTGCATTACATGTATAGAGAACATGTTTATCAAGTTATACATGTAACACTTGAACCAGGTCTTCTTTTTCAAGACTTCATCATAACTGCATATTTTCATGTCATTTCATGTCTATGCACTTGGCATACACGCTCTTGTTCATTGGTTTGTTTGTATATAACTTAGGCTATTTCCAACTAAAGAGACCATTTTTGAGTCTAAAGACTCTGTCTGGGTATACTTTTTCCTTTCATCTCAGTCCCTCATTGTCTTCCTGACATAGGGATGTGACTGGAAATGTTGTTTGACTTTCCTAAATTCACTAAGTTCTTGGAGAAGAGCAAATGGTGCTCTCCGTAGCTCCAGTCATGCCACCTTTTTTTTTTTTTAATAAATTGAAAGTGTCTTCTAGCATCACATTATGAAAAGGATATCCATTTATATTTGGAATTATGGTAAAAAGCACTTGAAGGGAAGGGAGTGAGCTCCAGGGAAAGAACTAGTAGATCAACTATTAAGCTGCCCATTTCTTTCAGACTGATTTCTTTTGATCTAGAGAGAAAAAAATCTCGGATGTGATTTAACAAACACACTTAATAAAATAGCCCCTGAAAATCCTAATGCTGGAGCTGACTGAAATATTTGAGATAGGAAAGTCAGGCAGTGGTCCAGACAACTCAGTGGCAACAGATAGAAAGCCTTGGCTATAAGGATGGTTTCGCTAAGGAGCAAACTCCTGTAATCAGCTCTGGTTAATGAAATTGAGGATATTGCCACAAATTTCTGCAGGATTATTTTGAAGATATCAACTTAATACAAATATTAATTACTTATACACATAAGAAACACTTTCCTCTCTTTCCCTCTTCTAGGTTTCCTTTGAAAATCCAATTACACAGGAACGCAATTTTAATTATAATATT